TCAGAGAACTGAAGTTGGGACCAATCCAAGATCTTTTGATTGATGTGCCAAAAGCGATCAAAATCAACTTTCAAGGGAAATATGGGAAATTGCTTGACCTTCTCCATTCTGGGATCGATACATGGGCTTTGTTCGCTATGGTTCAATTTTATGATGCGCCTCTCAGATGCTTCACCTTTCAAGATTATCAGTTGGCTCCTACTCTTGAAGAATATTCTCACCTTTTGAATATCAAGATCAAGGATCAACCTATTTATACCGGCCTAGAAGAAGAGCCAAAGTCTTCTGTCATTACTCTCACTCTCCGTATGACCGAGGAAGAGGTTAAAGATGGTCTAACCAATAAGGGAGGTACTCAAGGCTTTCCCTTGAGGTTTTTGCTAGATAAAGTCGATCAGTACAAGACCAATGGGGATTAGGAAAGTTTTGGTATTTTCATTGCTTTAATGATTTATGGGATTGTCCTCTTTCCAAATGTGGACAATTTCATAGACATCACTGCTATCATTCTCTTCATGCAAAAGAATCCTATCCCTATCCACCTCGCTGATGTTTACCACTCCATTCATTGGAGAAGTGAAAAGAAGACAGGAATGGTCCAATGTTGTTCTCATCTACTGTTCAAATGGTATGCTTCCCACCTGCCGAAGAAAGGGCCGCTTGTGGAAAACAAGAAGAAACTGAAATGGTCTCAACGCATTATGTCTCTAGAGGCCTGTGATATTGCTTGGTACTCTCATGAGTATTACGACGTGGAGATCATCTTCAGTTGTGGGAATTTCGGTAATGTACCTCTAATCAGTAGGGCTGGTTGCATCAACTACAACCCCGTCATGGCGTTGCGTCAGTTGGGCTATGTTATGGAAGATGAGCCCGAAGCAGAGAAGGTTCAGAGTTTCTTTTTGCTAGCTACAACAGACGATCCTGCGTTTTTCAGGAATATTGTTAAAGCGTGGGCCAAGGTTCATACGAAGGGGAGGAAAGAGTTAAAGGCGAAGAACTGTGTGGCTAAGGAGCCCTACAACCGATGGTTGCAAGCTAGAGTGGCCGAAAGGTTGCTTCCATTTCCCTCCGAACCATCCATGCGAGAAGAACCTCCTGCTCCCACTCATGTATCCATGGAGGATTATGAGAAATTAAAGCTAGTAATAGAAAGGTTGTGTCGCACCTCGAAAATTCCATTTCGAACATACGACCCTCACGCAAAAGGCGCGAAAATTGCGGTTCGACAGAGTCGTCACCGAACTTTATTTTTCCCGAATAGACGGGAGAGGAAAATATCGAGAAAACCTCATAGAGCGGAAAGGAACACGACCGTCGCAACCATATTCCTGGGTTCGGGAGTCGGTTACACGAGGGGAAGGTATTAGCACCCCTCACGTCCGTCGTACTCGACGGGAACCTCTTAATTCGAGTTGTGATGGATGTTAGCTAAACTTAATTCTTCTCTTCTCAGTATTAGATGCTAAAGGATACTATAAAGGATAAAGACACTAAGGGGAAAGGGGTGGTTAGAGGATAGGGTGCTCGCCAAGGATTGGGGCCCTTGTGCCTACGTATGCTCATTCGGACGAGAATGAGAAATCAGAGCGTCGTAGTTAGACTACAGGAAAGGATGGGGGAAATGGAAGATGGAGGGAATTGTACTCGCCAAGATCATCGCAATCTTGTGCCTACGTACCTTACATTCAAGAGTGAATGAAGAATCAGAGAGTTCGTAGTTCGTGGTTACGACCACGAAAGAAACGGGTTTGAATTGGATTTGAAGTGAGTACGGATGACGATTACTCGAAGTTTAAGAAAGACTTCTCGGACCCAAGTAATCGGGAGAGCGAACCAAAGACTTGGCACACTCTCTTTTTCATCATGAAGGAATGATATGTTTGAAAGGATAAGGTTGAAATGATGACGATCACTTGAAGCCTAAGAAAGACTTCACAGACCCCAAGTAATCGGGAAAGCGAACCAAAGACTTGGAACACTTTCTTTTTCATCGTAAAAGAAGGTTGTTTGAATTTGAAATGGTGTATAAAAGGATGAGATTGGTCGGATGACGACTACTTGAAGCTTGAGAAAGGCTTCTTGGGTCCAAGTAGTTGGGGGAGCGAACCAAAGACTTGGGACACTCTCTTTTTCATCGTGAAAGAAGTTGTTTGAAAGGTGAGTGAAAGGATGAGTAATTGGAGATGGTTGAGTATTATCGAGTTTGTTAATATTATTTAAAGGCGTCAATTTCTCACATACGAATAAGATAACTCGCATATAAACAACTAAAAGCAAGATTAAAGACTTGAACCTACTCTTTACACCTTGAAAAGAATTGAATAGTTGTTAGTTGATTGATAGTTTGTTTCGAAAATCCTCTTGACGTTGGATCAAGGGTTTGACTTATTATCGCGTGCAAAGCGTGTAATGTACATGGTTTGAAAAAACGTGACCGACTTGACTTACGCATCAAGGGTCGAATTATGTAATAGGTTGATGGCGAATGCGTATGAGCACTCGACTTACAAGGGTTTGAAAATGGCTCGATGACGAATCGAGAATTAGTTTGAAAATAGTTTGATCCGCTCTAGTCCCTATGGGTGCTCCTAGGAGATAAACTAATAATCAAAGAAATACGAAACATACATCGGAATGGGAGAGGGGTACATGTAATTTACACGGGATTGCATGAAATAAAGGGGTCTCATTGTCAGGTAGCCCAAGAGAAAGCCGTGTGTGTGCATTTGTGTCCTAAACTACGCCTTGAGAAAAGTCGGGCACGACTCAAAGTTAGGATACCTGCAAATGACCAAAGTTCCAACAGTCCACCAATTTGGCTTTTAGGAGTTTCGATAATTTATTAGGTATTTTCGAATATGGGTGAATGAATATGAATAATGAGATATGATAATATGAATAATAATATGACAATAATATTCACAATAATATTTAACGGAAATTAAATTTAATGGTTAGTGAATCGAATCGGGACACGAAAGAATGGATCTCGTCTTAATCGCAAACATAATGCCGATTAATCGAAGGTAGCCTATCACGATCCCAAAGTATGGAAAATGACCCCAATGGTCATTCACCATAGATTTGAAATCGAGAAGGTTATCAACTTCGATACGCGACGCTTACGAATAAAAGACTTCATCGATCTAAAAATCGGAGAAAGAAGGTGGTCTCGGATCCTTTGTTTTACACCAATAATTTGACGGTTAAACGTTGGTAATCTCGTCATCGACCGACTAATAATAATGCTAGAATAGTAACAAAGTATAGTTACTAAGAACTCATAAAAAATGTTTTAACAACCCATACAAAAAGATAAGATTAAGAACATAATTAAATAAATATTTTCAAAAAAGATAAACATAAAATAAAAATAAAGAGAAAAAAATAGAAGGAATCATATGGGCTCATGAGAGGCCCATCATCCTTCTCCAAAAACGGGTGGCAGTAAAAAAAAGAGGGAGGTGAAATAAGAAAGCAAGTGGACCTAAAGCCCACATCCATCCAGCTAAAAGACAATAACGGTAAAACAAGTGAAACGGGTAATGCTAGGCCACGAAAGCTGAACCGGATTTTTGAAATGCTAATACAAAAGCCTTTTATTCTTGCAATAGAATAAATAAATAAAAACGAAATAAGTTGTGGTGAGAGCTAGAACAGTTCAAAACATGAAGAAACAACAAAGGCCCCAGTTGAATCGAAATAAGCATTGAACATGTTAATGCGAAAAAGCAGTTTTGGATGCTACAACAACAACCGCAGATCGTATTTCTCAACCTTCTTCGTCGTGTATTCCGGATCTCACAACCTCTACTTGCCTTGCGGTTTTCGATTGCTTCAGTTTGGAGTTGTAGGTTTTAAGCTTTTCCTCCTTCTTTTCTGTTTGATTTGAAATAGGTTGTGGCTCATTAGGTTCAAATGGGTTTGGGTTCGTTGAAATTGAAGATTGAGGTTTGGTTTTGGTTGTCGTGCGGTTGTGGGTTGATGAAGTTTTGGAGTTGAAAGGGGTTTTATGGTTTATTGATGAAGGTTAAAGATGGAAGAAGGTTGGATTAGGGTTTCAGATTGGAAGCCGCTAGGGTTTGGAGGCTCTTGGAACGGCTCCCCTCTTTTCCCCCTCAATCCGAAGCTTTTTATATCCAAGGTAAAATACTGATTTGTTATCGTTTTGTGTTGGAATTCCTGCCTCGTACGAATTGCTAGTTGTGTTATACTGCTCTGTGTAGTGGTTTTAATCAAGTTGTGGTACGATTCATCGTGGGACCACACTTGTTTCTACTGATTTCACTATGAATTACACTTACTGCAGTAGTTTTACTTTTTTACTGCTGTGACACTTGTTTCCATAAAAAACTCACAATTTTGTCCTGTATGTATTGTTGCAGGTAGGCTGGTGTATTTGGTTCGAGACTTGGCATTATGTTGGAGCTGCAGATTTATTCCAAGAACTACCGTTTCACCTTCTTCTTAACATGTCACAGATGAAGGGATAACCTTCCTCACATGGCTGACCCCTCCTCTTTATTGCAAGTTCTTTTAATTTAACGGTCTAAAGTTCTCTCCTTATGAGTATATTTTTTTATTTTACATGAGCTGTGATCTGCTTTTTCATAGCCGGTTTTTGTGGTTTTTTCAGGGGAGGAGCGACTTCTTGGTTTTCTTCTTTTTAAATAAGTGCGTGAAGGTTCCTTTTCTTCGCGGATATGGATTGGGAGGCGTAGTACGATTTGTGCAAAGGCTGCTGCAGGCTCTAATATTCTCGTACAATCTCGCAACATTTCCATGATACATGCGTATGGACTAACCAGAGGTATGCTTTGCAATAACACCTTGTTGTGTTGTGTGACGGTGTCTTTTACGTTTTGTTGTGTATCATAATCTTCTGGTGTATGCTGGTTATTTTGCAGAGTCAGTTTGTCATGCACAAGGTACCGTGAGCGGTCATTGCGGTAACATTTTGTTGAGGCTGATGTAGAGGCTACGAAATGATCGGTGGCTTAAGTCCTGTTGTTGAGGAAACATGTGTATTGGCTAGTGCAGGAGCTGCTGAAGGCTTTCTTGGTAATGCAGAGAAAGTGACTTTGTGGAGTGCCCTTTGGCTTAACAACGGCTTTAGCCTTTGGCTTAGCAGCTAGCCTAGCCTTCACAGCTTTTGCCTTGGCAGCGGGCTTTGTCTTCGGCTTGGCGACTGCAAGCTTTTTGGCTGCTGCTGAAAGTTTGAATAAACCTTTAACCTTAATAAGCTTTCCATAAGCAATTTTCTTCTTCCAATTTTGGAGCAATAGCTTAGCAGGAAACTGTTTCTGTTTCTCTTCAATGAATTCCGCAAACGCGTATTGGCTCGAACCATTCTTCTCCTTCAGTGATACAATTGCATCCTTAATCATTCGTAAGTGGGATGTGAAGCAGGGTTGACTTATGTTTAATTATTCCTGGCTAGAACCTTAATGACACATTGGAATTATATTTGCTGTAACATCTTATGAGTCATGATGCATTGGTTTATCACTCTGTTAAACACTTGATATGGTTGTCAATTACTACTTGGCTATGTGGCCTGAGCTCTCACCAATATTTATCATTTCTATTTATTTCGTGAACTGCAGGCGGTATCCGTTGTGTACAGTTTGGACATGAATTACGTGCGGTTCGGTAGCTGGGGTAGTGTATGATGCGCAGATCGTTTGCGGTTTGGAGAACCCAGTCATAACAGATATATTCATCTTCATATCAGTACTGTTGTTGTTTCAATACAAGTCATGGGATTCAATGGCAGGTTGGCTCATGGCTTGCTAGTCTGAGAGCAGTCTGAAACGTGTTGTAACACGAGACCTTATTTTTCTTTTGATATAAAATTGCCGGCTCAATTTGTTGCGTGGAAAACGTAGAGTCATGTACTGTTACCACATGACGATACCGTTTGGAAGGTGTTACACCCTAAAATTTACTCAACCTACTTCACTTGGTTTATGTTTCAATTGCATTGCCATTTGCATAAAAAAGTCATGTACATAGTCTAATCATCTGTATAGCATAGCATGGGCAAGCCATCTGACAAGGGATCAAGTGCTATTTTTCATCTCAAGGAATATATTCAAGAGGCTCTTATCAAGATTCAAGCCTATTCAAATCACCAAGAAAGAAATTGAAGCTTTGTAAAGTTTAAAGGCCAAACAGTGGATCTATCTCCTATCTTGAGGGTATTTGAAGATCATCAAAGAAGTTGTGAGCTGTGAATTGAGGTCATGGAGGGTATACAGACATCATGGAAGACCTAGAGAGTCATTTTGAAAGTGATACAAGTCATTGATGTGATTACAAGAGCTGCAGTTGAAGACAGTCAACTAGGGTTTCATCTAGGTCAACCTTGGGTCAACCCTAGGTCAAATGCTTGATTGAAGGGCATCAAGGCCTATTTGAAAGATGTGGGATGCCTCATTTGACATGTAGATATGGATATGGTGTTGTGCCAAGGAGAAATCAAGAGAAATCAAGAAGAAGAGAGGTTTCTAAATTAGGGTTTCTGTGTAAAATCCCCTGATTTAGGGCAAACTTCCCAGCAAGATAATTCAAAATGCAAGTTTCAAATGGATCCTTGGCCAACATGAAACTTATAGAGGATCTCAAGACCTTTAATTTGATTTGTGGAAGACATCAAGGAGATTTATAGAACTCAAGTTATGGTTCTTGCAAGTTACAGGTCATCGGAGGCATCTGAAATTTGTCTGTGAAAATTACTAAACTTCCAAGCAACTTTTACCCCTCAAGGAGCTTTCAAATGGATCTATGGCCAACATGAGAGTTGTTCATCATGATCTTAGATTTCTAGAAAGGTATGATATGCCTTCATCTGATTTGTGGAACTCTACTTATGACTTTGGCAAGCAAAGGGCATTTTGGTCATTTGGCAATTATAGGTCATTTCAAGCATATGGCCATATCTCCTACTTCCAAGCTTCAAAAGGAAAAACCTTCAGCATTAAAGTTGCTTAGAATTATGTTTTAAGGCTAGTAGGGTGGTCATGAGATGTTGGAAAGGCTCATAAAAAAAAGTGATAAAAATAGCCTAAAAATGGGACATAAGTTAATTCAAGTGAAATGGAAAATCCTAAAATCCAAGTTCCAAATCCAAACCATGGCATATGATAGGTCATTTTGACTCCCAAGGGCATTTTAAGAACATTGGTTCAGCCACAATTTTGATTTGAGGCTTAAATCTTGGGGTTGCTTTGTAAAAGTCTTACTTGCATAATGGCATACCAAACCAAAACAAAGAAAAGCTTCATAAACAAGGTGTTTAAGCTTTGTATCTTGTCCAAAATACCACCTAAGGAGAAAATCAAGTGAATTACTCAAGTTGTAGGGTTTTTGTCATGATATCTCATGTGGTGGGAATGGAAATGCAAAATATCTTCATGAAAGTTCAAGTTGCTACTAGATTGATCTAGATGATTCTAGACCCTTCCAAATGAGTCTATATATTGAATACAATCTCCATTGGTGAGAGGTTAGTGATTGTTGATGTTAATGGTGGTAGAGAAAAGAGTTTGAACCAAAAATTCTCCATTTGCAAATTGAATTGAAACTCCATTTTTCTCTTCATTACCCTTCCATTTTCTTCCACAAATCATCACTACAAACCTACCTAAACATGTTCATGCTAGAATGAGCCTCCATTGTTGAAGAATTGGAGCTTTTAAGTGAAGTTGCAAGAGAGCAAAAAGGATTGAATCTGAAGATACATGCCATCTCCATCAAATCTTGTGCAAGAAGAGTGTTATTCATCACATAGAGACCATTCTTGAAGATCCACAAGGCCTAGTTCGAAGCTTTTCAACACTTGCCATTGTAGGGTCAAGGTATGCAAAATCTTTCCCACACTCTGTTTTAGGCATGGTTAGGATTAGTTCTTGTTGTGAAACTATTAGAGACCATTAGGGGATTCATTTGGATGAGTTTTAGACCAATTAGTGAGGTTTCATTAATGGAGGTTGATTCTTGATGGAGGTAGAACACATGATTTAATGGATGATAATGCATGAGAATTGGTTGGTTGTGATCAGCATAGCATGAGGATTAATTATATACAAAGATTGTTGAGTTTTATGATGGTCGAAAATTGAAGAAAGTTTGGATCCATGGAGTTGTGTGGTTCGGTTAGGATGATATAGTTAGTTTCAACGAAATCCAAAGGCATGGTTGTATTCTACATAAAATTCTAGTCAAGTTTGGTTCTTGGATCATGGCATTTGATGGAGAAATGAGAGAGAATGAAGGTGATAAAGTTTCATGCATGGAGTTTGTTTATTCATGGATTCTAAAACCCTAGATGGACCAAGGTTGAAGACATAATCTAGACCATTGATTGTATGTGGACTTGTTGACTTGGAAGACCATCCTGCGGCCGAGATTTTATTAAACTTCAAAAATTCATATAAAATTGAAAAATGCATATTTTTTAATGAGACTTTTTTTCCCATTTTTTATTTTCTATCAAGAAAAATATGAAAACATAAAATAGCCATTTTATTTCAGTTTTATATTTTTTGTGCATTTTTAATTTTAATTGCTTTTTTTAATTCTTTTAGTTGGTATGCTAATTTGTAGAATTTAATTAGGATGGTTCCCTTAGGATTTTGAGTTCAATTTTTTTAGGATAATTAGATGAATGGTTTAGGGTCCCCCTGAATTAATGTCATAATTTTGTGATAATGTTTAGGGTAGTTTTAATTAGGTAGTTCTAAATAGTGTAGAATTTGATTAAAACTTTAGTATAGGTCAATAACAATTTTAGATTTAGGTTTTTTAGGGCAATTTAGTCTATGGGGAATATATGGGACTTAAGGGTAGTTATGTAGGGTCCCCTAGCATTTATATTAGGAATTAATAGAATAATATACTATTTTTGGTTGATTTTTGAATTGATTCATTGTGTGGTGTGCCCTTTCTAGGGTTATTGTTTGATTGTGTGGGGTATTGGGCTTGTTTGGGGTTTGGGTTTGAGCTGAAGACTTTGCTGATGAAGCCCATTGAAGACTAAAAGAATGAAGACCAATTTCCAGAGTTGATGAAGAGTATCTCTTGCTGGCAGCTGTTGAAGGTTATAGGGTCTAGGAGTTAGGTAGAGCTCTAGAATAGGAACTTGATTCACAAACATGGAAGGTCCTGTTTGCCTCCATTCTTTCTCTATGATTCAAAGTCTCTTTTAAATGCCCACCTCCTTCCTTTGGAAGGATTAGTGAATGTATTTAAAAGATAGAACTTTTGAGAGAAAATTGTCTGTATCATGTTAACAGTCAGTAGGCCACCCTTGGTAGGCAACTGACTGCTTAACATCCAATTCATCTTGTTGAATGCTGCTCATCTTGGAGAGTGGGACTTGAAGAAAAGCCCTGAAAGATTGAAGATAGAGACCTTGCTTGAAGGCTTGAAGATGAAGACTGATGCTTGCTTGAAGCTTGTAGATGATTGAAGATGACTTGAAGACAGATGTTGATGAAGACTGCTTTTGCTGTTTATTTTTGCTGTTTATAATTTTTGATGTATTGTTTGAATTTCCCTGACTGTATTGTTTGCCATTAACCTGTTAGGTTGAAAGCGAATTTTGTTCGCTTTTGCCTGTTGTTTTCTAGGTTCGAGGTTGAGTGGGACTCCTTTGCCTCGCTTGTATTGTTGCATCCATGCATCTTTTACTGTTGTATATATGCTATTGTTTCTGTTTCCGTTTATCCCTTAGGATCTCTGTTTCTCTCTGCACAAGAGAGGAGCATGATAGACATTAGGTCTTAACCCATGCATGATAACATTAGGTTAGTGTGATTCCCTTTTTCAACCATAGGTTAGAGTTCTGTCTCTTCTTTCTCAAAACAAACAGAAAAACACAATAAATATTTCAAACACAATAAAAGACACTTCTTCCGTAAAAGAATGTGAACTCATCAAAACGACATTTTTGTCCGCTTGGACCAGTAATCGGAAAAACCCTTTTTCAGAAGGAGATAAAAAGCAATCAAAACAGACTTGTGTCGTACGTGGCCTGAACTACGTTTGCTCTGATCTTTCATGCTGTATGAAAGTACGTAGGCATAGGATGCGATATCCTAGCGAGCAACCTTCCCCTCCTTTCCCGTAGGTAGGCGAACTACGTTGACTCTGATTTCTCGTTCCAGACGGGAATACGTAGGCATAAAGTGCGATACTTTGCAGAGTCATTTTATTTTCTTTTAACCCCATACCTGTAGAGTAGATAGAATAACAATCCGTACTAGAAAACAAGCGTGGATCCCGTCGAGTGCGACGGACGTGAGGGGTGCTAATACCTTCCCCTTACGTAACCGACTCACGAATCCAGGATTTGGTTGCGATGACCATTCCTTTCCCCGTTTTG